AAAAAGGCAGAGATAAGGGGCCAGGAAGATGGCTCAGTGGAATAAGCACTTCCCTGGCAAGCACAAGGGCCTGAGTTCAATCCCCAGTTCCGCAAAAAAAAAAAAAAAAAAGCCAGAGATAGTGGTGCACACCTGTAATCCCAGCATTCAGGAGGCTGAGGCAGGACTATGGCTTCCTGTTTGAGGCCAGCTTGAACTGCATAGTGAGACCCTGTCTGAAAAAGACAGACAGAGGGGCCAGGGAGATGGCTCAGTGGAATAAGAGCTTCCCTGGCAAGTGCAAGGGCCCAAGTTCAATCCCTGGTTCTACAAAAAAAGACAGAGATAGAAGAAAGGCCAGGTGGAGGTGCATACCTGTATTCCCAGCACCCTAGAAGGCTGAGGCAGCATGATCTCGAGCTTTAGCCTAGCCTGAGCAACTTAGTGGCTTAGCAAAACCCAATCTCAAAATAAAAACCAGCCAGGGATGGATGATCCTTGTGACTTCAAGGCCGGCCTGTGCTCAAAGTGAGCTCAAGGGCAGCCTGAACTGCAGAGGGAGACTCAAAAAAAAAAGACAAAATAAAAAACAAGAGGGGCTGGGGAGATGGCTCAGTAGAATAAGTGCTTCCCTGGCAAGCACAAGGGCCTGAGTTCAATCCCCGGTTCTACCAAAAAAAAAAAAAAAAGGTTTCCTAAGAGCTGGGCCTGGTGGCACACACCCATAATACCGACACTCAGGGAGGCTGAGGCAGGAACATCATCCTGAGTTTGAGGCCAGCCTGGGCTACATACCAAGACACTGTCTAAAAAAAAAAAAAGAAAATGTGTCTTAACTACCTAAGGTTGGATTTTTTAAAAAAATAAGCTGGGGGCTGGGGAAATAGCTCAGTGGAAAAAGTGCTTGCCTGGCAAGCATAAGGTCCTGAGTTCGATCCCTGGTACCCCCAAAATAAATAAATAATAAAACAGAATAAAGCCAGACATAGTGGTACAAGCCTGGGATTCCAGAACTCTGCAATGCAGCGGCAGGGGAAATTTGCAAATTCAAGGCCATCCTAGACATAATAGCAAAAAACAGAGCAGGGCTGGCCAAATAGCTCAGCGCATTAAAGCACTTGCTTAGGCAGAGGCAGCGGCCAGGGTTCAATCCCTGGTGAACCATCCTGTCCCACCCTTGGGGCACACTGAAACCGTGAGACTGGGCATGGTAACACACATCTGTAATCCCAGCTCTTTGGAGGCTGAACACAGGTAGATCACTAGGAGTCTGATCTACATAGTGAGACCCTG